TAATAAAGCTGAACAGAAGTCGTTTTTAAAAATAAGTAAAATTACAAAAGCACATAACAGAATGACTAAAAGTAAAAATAAAAAATGAAAACAAAAATTAAAGCTACTTCAAAATATTAATAAATAAGTTTAAGTACTAAAATTACTAAAAAAAACTGAAATAAAAATAAATTAAAGCTGAACAGAAATACTTTTTACAAAATAACTAAAATTACAAAAGCACATAGAAGAATTGCTAAAACTAAAAATGAAAACAAAACTAAAAGTAACTTTATAAGTTTTATATTTATGAGTTTAAGCACTAAAATTTCTAAACATAAAACTGAAATAAAAAAATTAAAGCTGAATATAAATATTTATAGTAATAATTACAGAGGCACATAACAGAACTAAAACTAAAAATGAAAAATGAAAACAAAAAAGCTACTTCAAAATATTAATAAATAAGTTTAAGTACTGAAATTACTAAAATTAAAACTGAAATAAAAATAAATTAATGCTTACTAGAAATATTTAAAATAATAATAATAATTACAAAAGCACATAACAGAATTACTAAAACTGAAAAATGAAAACAAAAAATTTAAGCTGCTTCAAAATATTAATAAATATGTTTAAGTACTAACATATTCTAAAAATAAACAGATTAAAGCTGAACAGAAATATTTGTAATAATTGTAATAATAATTACAAAAGCATGTAACAGAATTACTAAAACTAAAATTATAAAATGAAAACATAAAAAAGCAACTTCAAAATATTAATAAATACTATAGTACAGAAATAAGTCAAGTCAAGTCACCTTTATTTATATAGCGCTTTTAACAATACAGATTGTGTCAAAGCAACTGAACAGCATTAATTAGGAAAATAGTGTCAATAATGCAAAATGACAATAGTAAACACAAATTTTTCAGTTAAAGACAGTTCATCATTGAATTCAGTGATTCAGAAATAATACTTCAATTCCACTGGTACTATATAGACTGCGAATGAGTCCAGGTCGAGACACTGTGTCTGGGCTCAGATACACCTTGCGCAGACTGTTCTGAAGCTCTGAACAGAAACATTTTGTTTTATTTGGCCAAGCTTGCTAAGAGATTATTTGGCTCAGCATGTACAAAACTTTTAGATTTTCCTGAGTCTTGTGGCTATGGAAGTACACTGAATTTTGTACAACGTACCTGTCGACTGGAGTCTCTGGGGCCTGACTGCATGGCCCAGGATGAGATCACATTGAAGCCTTTGACCACAATGGATTCTGGGAATAGGGACGCTAGGTATTCTGCGTTTGATTCTGGATACTGGTTGACCCGTCTGTTGTTGCTGACATCCACCAGTATTTTTCCAGCCAGCAGGTGTTTGATGTCCCAGAGAGAGGAATAGTGCTCTCGGCGAATGGCCAGGAACACGATGTTGGCCTTCCCCACTGCGTCCTCGTGATGGGTCACGTCTACCACGTGTGGGAACGACTCGGCCGCTCTCTTGGGCTGACGGCTCCCCACCACCACGTGAAAGCCGCTGCGGAGCAGCCGCAGGGTCAGGCTTTTGGAGAAGTCTCCAGAACCGATGATGCCGACCGTGGGCTTGCCCGATCCCTCTTTGGACCCGTTCTTCAGCCCGTTTGGTAGGAAGCAGACTTTGGTGCTGGCCGGGCTGCTGCCCAGCAGGGAAATAGAGTCCATTTTCAGGCCCGAAGCACCTCGTACTGGATCTTAAGACACTTATGGAATAATGCTTTGTTAAGGGTTAGTTCACCCAAAAATTAAAATTAGCCTGTGTTTTACTCACCCTCAAAGCATCCTAGGTGTATGTGACTTTTTTCTTTCAGACGAATCCAATTGGAGTTATATTAAAAATTGTTCTGGCCCCTCCCAAGCCTTTCAATGGGGGTAAGCGGGTGTTGGTTGTCAACAGTTCAGAAGACGTGAAATAAAGTGCGTGCATCCGTAATAAAACGTCCCTCACACGACTCCGGGGGGTGAATAAAGGCCTCCTTTAGCGAATCCAAGCATTTTTTAAAGATATTAAAAAAGAAAAATATTAAAAAGATATTTAAGATATAATAAACACTTTTTTCTCACTTCCGCTGACTGTCATACGCGGAAGCCATTCCGGCGGATGACGTAAGACGTCGAGCGTTGCGTGATAATTGACGAACACGGAGACAAAACAAAACAAAACGCCGGTCATGAATTAGAAGTACAAAACGAGGATTTGTAAAGAAGAATGTCGGAGGATTTCGATATAAGCCAAGAGGAGACTGGTTTTCCTTTGCTAA